TGCTGGAGCGACAGGGTCTCACGAGGGCGCTGCTGCTGCTGGCGCTGCCCACCGCCAAAGCCTCCCCGCTGCACAGCGCCACGTCGACCAGCACCACCGCCGCCGCCACCCCCACCGCCGCCGCCGTTGCCGCCACCTCCACCCCCACTGCCGCTGCCTCCGCCGCCTCCACCTCCACTGCCGCCACCGAAGCTCCCACCCCCGCCACCACCCCCACCTCCACCCCCACCCCCTCCGCCGCCTCCACCGCCACCACCGCCGCCCCCGCCGTCTCCTCCAGAACCCTTGTCCCCCTTGCTCCTGCCGCTGCGGCGCCTCCCACTAGGAGCAGACGCAGCGCACAGAGCACTAAACAGGGTAACAGTCAAGTCGCTATACCCCATTCCCGCGCCGACAAACTGATCGATCAGCTGCGAACAACACGGGTCTCTTCGAAAATAGATTTACGGGGAGGTTACCATCAGAGAAGAGTCAAACCATCGGACTGCGCCAAGACGGCTTTTTGGACTAGGTACGGGTCATTCGAGTACACCGTGATGCCATTCGGGCTGACCAACGCACCGGCGACTTTTCATATGACCATGAACGAGGCGTTTAGGCCACTTTTAGATAAATGTGTGATAGTTTACCTCGACGACATCCTCGTCTACAGTCGCGACAAGCAGCAGCACTTAGCAGATCTGGAAGCAGTGTTTAAAAAACTAGACGAGAACCGGCTACTGACCAAGGGTTCCAAGTGCGAGTTCTTTCAGGACAGGCTAGAGTTTTTGGGCACTTTATTTCGGAGGCCGGGGTCGAAATTGACCCAAAGAAGCTGGACACGGTACAAGCGTGGCACCCCCCGACGAATATCACGAAGCTGCAGAGTTTTTTGGTGTTCGTAAATTATGTGCGTCGGTTCGTCCCCGACATGGCACGCTTAACAGCACCACTCATGGACTTACTGCATAAGAGGGTCGTTTTTACGTGGGGGGAGAAAGAGCATGCTGCCTTCTCTGCCCTGAAAAATGTTCTCTGTTCACCGCCCGTACTGCGCATCGCCGACCCACACCGCCCATTCGAAGTAGTTACAGACGCCAGCGACATCACCATCGGCGCCGTCCTGCTACAGGACTTCGGCAACGGCCTAAAGCCCATCGCATACGAGTCACGAAAACTGCATCCGCCTGAGAAAAATTACCGATACACGACCGCGAAATGCTTGCCATCGTGCACGCATTCAAAGTGCGGCGTTGTTACTTGACCGGCGCCAACGTGACAGTATGGACAGACCATAAATCGCTACAATACCTCCGCGCACAGCCACACCTCAACCCACAACAGATCCGCTGGCTCGATTTTCTGGAGTCCAATTTTCACTACACAGTCACCTACAAAAAAAGGGCATCGAACATCGCCGACGCACTGACCCGCCCCACTGCCCAGATCCTCGCGATACTACTTGCCCAGACCAGCCCACTACTGACAGGACTATTCACCCATGGGTACCAAACGGATCCATTCTTCACAGGAGGAAATTCGCGGCAGTTCGCAGCAGCAAAAGGATTTTATTATGTAGAAGCCGGCACCGACCGCATCTGGGTACCGGGGTATTCACTACTACGGGAATTACTGTTACAGGAGGCACACAATAGAGTTACCTCGGGACATTTCAGGGTAGAGAAAATACGGCAGCATCTGCAGCGGTATTATTACTGGCCCAAAATGTTGACCGACGCTCAACGACACGTGGCATCGTGTCCCACTTGCCAGCTCATGAAATCTTCACGGAAGCGGCCGGCGGGACAGCTGCAGCCGATACCACCCCCGGAGCGTGCTTGGCAGCAGGTGACGATGGACTTCGTCACGGGGTTACCGGCCGGAGCGAGTGGGAACGACGCCATCCTGGTCGTCGTCGATCGACTGACGAAAATGGCACACTTCGCAGCCTGCAAGAAATCGATCACAGCCGAAGAAACAGCCCGCCTCTTCATCGCCACCGTCGTTCGACTACACGGGATACCAGCGGTAATCATTAGCGATCGTGACACGAAAATCACCAGCAACTTCTGGCGGAACCTGTGGCAGCAGTTCGGCACGCGACTACAGTTTAGCTCTTTGTACCACCCCGAGACCGATGGACAGACAGAAAGGACAAATCAGACCATGGAACAACTCATCCAAGCCACGTGCGGCGACTCGACCACCTGGGAACAGCAGCTGCCACTCATACAACAACTCACCATCCGCCACGACCCAACAGTCACCGTTTATCTGAACTACGGACAAGACCCGACAGTACCCATTACCCCGAATCCCGACAACCCGGTGCCACGGGCACAACGGTTCGCCGAAATTTTACAAGCAGCACGGACCCGAGCAGCAGACGCGATTAAAAAATCAAACATCGTCGCTAAACGCAACGCCGACCGCCACCGCCGACCTGTCACTTACCAGCCCGACGACCTGGTCTTACTCGACACTCAGAACCTCCGCCTGCCCATCACCCCCAAACTCCGCCCCCGATATTGTGGGCCATTTCGCATCAGCGACATGATTACGCCCGTCACCACCCACCTCCTCCTCCCCGCCGACTAGTACGTTAGCCCGTCCTTCCACGTCAGCCTGCTCCGCCCCTATGTACCATCCACCAGCCAACTGCCCCACAACCGCCCCGCCAGCATGACTCGACCGCCGACAGAGCCCATCATCACGCCCGAGAAAATTCTGAGCCACCGAGTTCGTGACCCACTAAGAGCTCAAAGGGTCGAGTTCCTGATCCGCTGGAAAGACCGAACACCCACTGAAGACAACTGGGTTCCCCTGGATAAGATTGAAAGCCACCCCGTCCTCACCGAGTATCTGCGCAGCCGAAATTTTCGAGATGTACACGCGCTTTCGTAAGGAGGGCCTCCTTAGGGGGTGGGGGGGGGGGGGGGGGGGTAGTGTAAGGAAAATTCCTTTTCCTTACTTCGCGTCCCTGCTCAGCACGTACACCACTGTTCCCGCCAACAGCACCCAACAGTAAACCGTTACCACTCGCGACATTCGCCTCGACATTGTTCCCGCCACTGTTCACGACGCGACCCAACCTCACGATTCGGTTGGTAACCCGCGCTCCGGACCTCCGCCTTGGCATTTCCCAACCTCGGCGCCAGGCCCGTCGCGCACCCCATTTTCGCGCATTACCGTTACCACTGTAGTTTCGCTATATATTCTTCGCTCATGCCTTTGCTCATTGTACTTTTGCTTCGATAGTGCAATTCTCGCTCGCTCACTCACTTGGACTCGTAACACCTTGTAATCATATAAAAGCTTTGTATCCCTTTGCTATTATCAACTCATCTTATTCTCACATACCGATGCAAGGTGGTTCAATTTGTTCACTAATACACACCCGCTAATACATCACTACTCTGAGTCTTTAGTCTTGAAAACGATTCTAAGGGCTTTTTTTCAGCCCAACACAAGCTAGTTAGTGCGACGTTGGCATTGAGGTCCGGGCTAGTCCTGAAACGTAGGCCGACACGGCTAGTCCAGCGATGCATGGTTGGTGAATAGTGCACGCGTAGGTGGAAAAATCTCTGTTGATTGTAACGGGTGAAGAACAGTCGGTCTTGTACGCGATGTTGTTAGGCACAGTAAGGAATTCCAAAAAAATCCTTTACACATATGCAAACGTTTTGTGTGGCATTATAAAACGGAATGCAGAAATGTGAAAGAATTTGGATGTTTTCGTCTGCACAACGGAAATGCTTGTGGGGGGGAAGCATGGGTCTGGGATCTGGCGAAGTTGGGCGAGCCACGACATACGAGCTTTCCGTTCAATTTCGTTCGCTCAGATAGTTCTCCCCTCAGATAGTTCACAGTTTTCCTCTTCGGGGCCGCCGATACTCTCGCGACGAATCACCCATGCAGAATCTGGAATGTATACGGAGAGATATTTGGGAGCGAAATGTGTTCAGTTCAGGTGTGACGAGACGATGGGGAGTTGGCTTGCGTGACGGGCGCAGCTGTCTCCCTCCCCGGATCCGTCGTCAGAGAGTGGAGGGAGCGATGATGTTACTACTGTCGTCACCAGGGCCAAACACGACGGATTGCGGCATGTGATCTGTCGATATGTCACATCTAGGGTATGTAAGGAGAATTTAGGGCTCAGATCAGACTGAGCCCGGCTCCCACGCGTGCTTCTCAACACCTCATCATGGCCACCATTCGCGCCATGGGGCAAGGCCGGCATGACTGCAAGCCCTGCGATGCGGTAGAGTGAACCCAATCGCCGCCGCACGTGCCGCCTGCGAAAAAAGAAAACTAGAAAGTATGAAATCACAGGCCCAGGTCTCTGGGCTGCCTGCGCGCGAGCGTCTTGCACCCTGGACCCGCAGGCACCAAGATCTCCCACATCCTCACCTCGTGACTTGATTCTCATTCCGAGTAAGAGTCTCACGTATAAACCAGCGATGGTTCCTTCCAGTACGCATTATCGAAGTGCGACGCGAATTGCTGCTCACTGAGCTGCTTGTCTGATTTTCACTCCACACCATTCGGCTACCACTGTCGTCTGTCTCAGGATGGCTCGCGACAGGAAACCTATCACAGCACGCCAGCACATCGCTTCCCTCCTCGTTGCTGGTCATCGGGATCATCTGCGGTCCCGCGCATACCGCGGCGTCGGTACTGGACAATGCCATCAACAAGGCGAACCAGGTAGGGATGATCCGATAGTAACATACGCATTTCCACATCGATAGTCTATCCACTGGATACTTTCACATTGTGAATATAACGCTTCGTGGAAAATGTTTAACGTCATCAGCAGCGTTCCGAAAGCACGAAGCTCGTCAGCGCGTTTTCTCTGCTTCTGCGGACGTCGTTGTTTCCAACGTGGAAACACATTGAATTTGTTCGACAGCTGAAAGTTGGGACTTGGAGGAAATTTGAGACGCGGACGGCTAAAATTTGACACTTGCAGTGCGGATGAACGTTTTTCGTCACGTGTGTGCGTGATTGTGCGTGTCCAGATGGCGACACAATTTGGAACAGACGCGAATACCACAGAGCTCGTTCTCACATCCAACGTTATGTGACGGCGTAAGTTCCCCATCTATCCACGTCTGCACATGTTACGTTACGCCTCGCCACGTGTGCGCTTGTCACCTCATCCCAGGAACGGCTAATCGGTTCTGCATACATCCCGCCTCCGTCACGAATTTCTGTCAATCCCTAAACCCATCCCATCAGGGAGCCCCTCTGCTACCATGCGAATCATCACATCATTGAGTCAAATCAGATTGCTCTTTTCCTACTCCCCTTCCCACTCGCTCTTCCTCCTTCCCCCTTCTTTTCTCCCCCCTACAGCCGCCTCCCCGAACTCTTAGGCGCGGCCAAGCTGACCATCAGGGGCGCGTGTGGATCCGACGGGTAGGTAACAGGGTTACCAGGAGGGTGGTAGGGTTACCAGCTCGAAAGTGGGGTCACATGGGAATGGTAGGATTAGTGGGTCATGTAGGGGATTGGCAGGACCAAACTGGATAGGACCATCGTTGCACCCACCATCGCCATCCCCATCGACATCGCCATCGCGTCCATCTCCTTTCTCCCCCTCTTCGTCTCCGCCCATCTCTCCCATTCCCTCTTTAACCGCCTCCGTTCCTTCCTTTCCCCTTGTATCTCCGCGCGCCTCTTCCCTCCCCGGTCCCCAGCATCGTCAAGTGCATCATATGGGGGGGTAACGCCTTCCCCATATTCACCGGCGCCTCCCCCACATTCTCTTCCTCTGCGTCAAGATCCACGGCGGGGCAGTTGACTCTGGTCAACCTCAGCTTCCAGCGCGCGCTCGGAGGTGTCCTTTCCAAGTTGCGCACGTCAGTCAACGCCAGTCAATGCAATTTCGCCCACAACGTGGCTGCTGCTGATGCTGGCGGAGGGGTGCTCAGGTGAGGGAGTGGAGAGCTGGGACGGAGATGAGAGAGTGAGAGGGGTGCTCGAGCGAGTGAGTGTGCAAGGCAAGGTGCAGTTGAGAGTGTGTGTGCAAGGTGCATTTGGGAGAGGGGTGTGTGTGGTGCAAGTGAGAGAGTGTATGGTGCAGGTGAGAGTGCGTGTGGTGCAAGCTCCTTCCCTGCGACAACCACAAAACTGTACTGTCTCCTTTCGCGCTGCACCTTCCAGAGCAATTGTTGATTGCTGCTCCCCCCTCTTCCCAAACACTCAATCCATTGCCTCCCTCCCTCCCTTCCCTCCCTTCCCTCCCTCCCTCCCTTCCCTCCCTCCCTCCCCCCCCCCCCCCTTTTGTTAATGTTTCCCAACCCACCAGAGACAACATCACTATGATGAACGAGCCTCCCGAGCGTGTCTTCACGGACTGCACATTTTACAACAACTCCTCGCCCGCCCTGGGGGGGGGCGCGGTCAACATAGACGCCCCCACCTTCAACGCCACCGGCCTCACATACGATGTGCCGGCTCTCTCCTTCCTATACTGCATCTTCCAGGACAACAGCGCGCCCAAACACCTGGGTGGGGCGCTTAGGGTGGCGGGGACGGCCAGGCTGCGCTTTGAAGAATGCCTCTTCGATGGGAACAGAGCTGGTGAGTGCGCGTGAGCGTTCGTGTGTGCGTGTGTGCATGTGCATGTGCGTGTGCGTGTCCGTGTGCATGTTTCTTTGCTCTGGTGTCCTTTGCGTCTTTCCTCTGTCCTTCCATCATCCATCGGAGGGAGGCCGTTCTTGGGAAGCCTCCTCTCAAATAGCACTCCCTCTCTCCTTGCTCACCTACCCTCCCTCCATCCAGGTGTTTCTGGGGGAGCCATCTACGCTAAAGACGCCCTCCTCACGTTCGTCAAAGTCCACCTGACCTACAACAAGGCGCTCGGCACCTCCACTCTCAACACCATCACCACTGGCGAAGGCGGTGCGGCCTACGCCGCCGCCACGGGACGAAACCCCGAGGCTGCGGTGCGCTTCTGCACGTAGTCCTTCCAGTCAAACACCGCCAAGTTCACGGACGGCAGCACGCTGTACATGGGAGCGGGCTTGGGGTCGTCGTGGGCGGCGGTGCTGTCGATTTGCGACGGGATCAAGCCGACTGGCACGGTGGTGCCCACGAGTGGATGGAAGCTCGTGACCGGCTGCCCCGCCAGGTGAGGGAGAGGGGTGTGTGAGGGCGCAGATGAGTGGTGGTGCTGCAATGGGAGCAAGCCGAGTGGGTTTTGAGTCGTCTCAATACACACGAGGAGCAGGCTGCGTGAGATGAGGAAGAGTGGTGGTGCTGTGAGGGACAGGTGTATCTGAAATACTTGTTTCATGTGCCCTCATGTGGCACCCTGCTTGCTTCCCGCACACTCGCCCCCATGCCCCCACCCACATTCCGCTCGCATGAACTCTGTTCCTTCTCGGTTCTCCTCACGTCCTCCCTCCCCACCCGGTCTGCTCTGCTTTGTCCCCACGGCCCTCCCCTTTCGCCTTTTCCCCCCCCTCCCAAGCAGCACCTGTAATACTTGAGCCCTGCCTTTCACTCTTCACCGCATCCAACTCCTGGATTTTCCTTTGGCTCCTCACCTCACACACACAAGTGAGGAATCTTGCATCCGGGTACAAGAACAAGAGTGAGATATGGATGAAGATGTGTGATTACCACTCTACTTGACAGCAGTGAAGATGTGCCCGTCATGTCAAGGGGTCTCCAGACAAATGTCTGTCACAGGATTACTGTTGTTCAACCAGCATCAACACGTTATGGGTGTGCATCAGGGCTGACTATTCAAAAAAAACCAGTCTGATATTCTGGGGGGTCCAAAAAAAAATAGTCTGAGGCGTATTTCTGGAAAAAAAGGCACTCTGATTTCTCAGGTTCCACAAAGTCATAAGTCTGAAGTATTCAGAGTTCCATTGTTGAAATCAGACTTACCGTTGCCTAATGCTAGTTTATTGCATAGAGTTATTTGAAGAGACTAAACTACGGGCCATTAACAACATTGATAACCTACCTACCTATTTACCATCCTTCCTCCTACCTACCTATCTTCCTATCCTATTAACTCGATACAATACCTTGTAGTGTCTAATCTAACCAACATGTCAGGTCAGCAGAGCAGCGTACATTCTAGTCTAGAGCTCTGGAACAGCCATCTCGATCCTGTCATCGCCATCGTCGGCTTCATCTCCCTCGTTCTCCGAAAGGAACGGGTTGTCTGAGGCATCCTCCTGGCCTGCACCCGCAAACCCCTCCTCACCGTCCTGATCTGAATCCTGCTCCTCCCCCCACTCACACACGCGGTCCTCTTTCTCCTGCACCTCATCTTCAGAGAGCTCTTTCTCCTTGCGCTTCCTCTCAGCTGCTGCAAAAACTGGTGCCTTGGCAGGGCGCCTGGGCTTCTCTCGCCACTTGGCAAGAGCTGCGTCCCAGTCGATCTCGTAGTCCAGCAGCGATATGGCCATCAGCTCCGCAAGTCGTGCGTTGCCCAGAGCGCCCCGCACCCAGGATTTGATCACGTTTTGGCGTGAAAATCCTCGCTCGCACTCGACCGTCGACAGGGGCATCACCGCGGTCGCTTGCCACATCCGCATGATGTTGGGCCAGCGTCTGAAATTAGACACGCACGGAGGAAACAGACATTACAAATGGCATGTTAAAGCACATCTATGGGAGCGGCATCCAATGGCGAAACAACGAATAGACGCACCTGGAGGCCTCGGTTGTGTTCATGAAGTTGCGCAGACCCTGGAAAAAGCCCTCATCCTCATGGTGCGCCTCCATGATTGGCGCCCACGTCTGAAGCTCCCTCTCGGCAGCAGTCATGTCGAAGCCCGGGAGTTTGTCGCCAAAGATAGCACTGCATCCGTGAAGGTACTCCCGGACCTTCCTGTCGCGCTGCTGCCGTTGCTTCGGCCACTTGGAAGCTCGGAACAGCTTCGTGGGTGCCAGCTTCCTGAGATCGGAGAGGCGGAAGTTAAGCCTGGTCACACATTCCTGTGCAAACTTGGTGCACAGCTTCTCGCACTCCTTGTACGTGCTGCCGTACACATGCCCTTTCAGGTGTCGCTCGTGCAGTTTGTAGACGCGGGAAACGGGATGTCCTTCAGTCTCCACGCCGCGCACCCGCACCTTTTTCCCCCCACCCCGCCCGTACAGCGTTAGAAACTCCGACAGCACAGGGCTCTCGCCAGCTCCGAAGATGTCCTCGCACTCAAGGTAGCACCGGCGCATGTCTCCCGTAGCCTCGTCAATGTCTTTGGCTATCTCTGTCACATCCACTTGCAGCAAGTCGTGACAGGGGCAAAGGAGAACGTTAGTGATTGTGAGTTAAAAATACACGAATTCTGAACGGACGGGTTGAAATACAACATGCTCACCTCTTTCTTCTGGAACTTGAGGTTGAGCTCGTTCATGATGGCGAGGACGTCCGCAAGGAAGAAAAGACAAAACTGAAACTTGTACGATATGACTGTCTCGTACAGCTTGTGCTTGCTCTCAGCCAGAAGAACAATCGAGGCGCCGAGCACCCTGCACAACCGACGCACAGCCTCCCCGCGTGACAACCATCTGACGGTGTGAATGCCTTGGACCTCTAAATTAGTCTTGCAGATTGTCTTCTGGAGGTACTGAAAGCGCTGGCTCGCGTTGCTAGAGTTCGACAATAACGCGGCCAGTGTCCTGATGACCTTGTCTACCATCTCCATGTCAGGACATGCTAAGGCAGCATCCTTGACCGCCAGCGCTTCTCTGCACAAACACACGAATAACAAAACCGTAAACAGCTAGAGCACGTATTGCGAGAACACAAATCAAATTCACAACATTTCATACCTGTGAGCGATGCAGTGCGCTGACACGAGGTGCGGGATGTGCTCGCGAAGTCGAGTGACAAGGCCGTTATCACAGCCCACCATCACGTTGGCGCCGTCGGTGCTGATCGCACAGATGCGCTGCAATTCCACCCCGACAGTCTGCAGATGACTCTGAATAACAGACAAGAGCGAAGCAGCGTCACATTTCTCGACAGGAAGATGAGCAAAAAACTCTGTGACAGGGCGGTTGTATCGCAGGAAGGTGAGATAGACGATGAGGTGTTTCCCGCGTGTGCGATCAGTGCTCTCGTCCGTGCTGATGCCCAAGAACGGGGAAGCTAGGATGTGCCGCATCTGCGTCGCCTGCAGAACTGTAGCGACGCAGTGTACAAGTTCTTGGAACCCATACCTGCAGTAACAACACATTGAAAAGCAAAGCCAGAGTTAGCCAAATGAACCTCTCCCGTGAAATCCAAAACAAAAATGGTTAGCCATCAAAACCTCACCGTGTAAGGTACACGCCGTACGACTGTTGAGGGAGGTCTGGCGTCTCCTGCTCAGCCAAGAAACGCACAAGCCGCGGATACATGGAAATCGGTGCGTCAACCTTACAGATGAAGTTCGTCGTGCGCATCAGCCGAATCACCCTGCGGCCCTCCACGTCCCTCCTCGTGAATCCGTCCAGCCGCTTTTGTTTGCCCTCGACCGCTTCACTGATCTCCAGCTGCCGCTCAACAGCTTCTTGGTGGACGGTCGAGTGCTCATGTATCCGCATGGTCTGAATCTGCAAGTCGCGCGCGCCATCGCCGGGGTTAGAGTACTTCGTGGTCTCCTTCCCGAACGCCCGGCAGATGGCGCACTTGAGCGAAGGGTGCCCATCCTTGGCTCGGACGAGGAGCAGCCACGGAAAGAGCGGTCGCCACTTGGCTTTGTAGTTAGCTTCCGCCAGCAGCCACTTCTGTTCGATCTTCTCCTTGGCCGACAGTTTGATCGGTACCGGCGCTTCAGGTGAGGAGGCAGCAGGCGGTGAGGGAGGTGGTGGTGGCCTCTTAAACCTACCGCCAAGGCTCATGGTGCTCTGTACCCATTTCTGCGTACGCGGTTTTTTCGAAGCTGACTGGACTAATGCAGAGGGCACGCTGTAACGCACAGTTGATTTTGTTTTCAGGGTCTGGGAGATGACTGGTCCCTTGCTAGATGATGCCACTGCGGGAGGTAATTGGTACTCCGTCACAGGTGGAGCAGGAATAGGAGTGGGCGCTGGTGGATTACGGGCTACTGCCTTTACTACGGCAGGGCGTAGGAAGTCGAGCCCCGACTTGGGGACATCCTTCGAACTAGGGTGGTCAGCATCAGCAGACAAGGGCTCCCCCACACCGTGTCCTGTCATGTCTTACGAACTAGTGAAAACTGACTAGCACGACAAAGGCCACATACAGGGGAAGAGAGGCAGCCGAGCTTATGGAAGGCTTCTGAACTGAGCGGTGGGGGAGAAACCCCACCGCCGTCCAGATGCATCCGGGACACCAAGATGCATGGATTGCTTCTGCCGTGGGTGGTGTCGAACCGCCATGCTCGTCACCATCCCGCCGCTGCTACCCAGCACAGCCACGAAGGAACCGCATAAGGGGAGGCGCTAACGACTTTGCTGATACAGCATTGGGTTCCTTTGGCTGACACTGCGTGGGAGCCAGCGATGGTCCCACGTGAAAGAAACAGCGAGCCAACTGGGCAGAATGCTAAGGGGATGGGTGGCAAATCTGCCCAGTACAGATTTTGCGCGTGACAGCGCGGTGAAGTGTTCTTGTACACTGGCAACATATGACGTTGCAGAAGCTACGTAGAAAGTACATAACCGCATTTCAGGATCCGTACTCCCTGTAGTCTGAAGACCCAGTATCCGCAAAGTGACTACTCTGAAATTCTCAGTACTCAGAAACAAGTAAGTCTGAAGCACTCATGTTTGGAAATTTAACAACTCTGAAAAATCAGGATCAGTAGGAAAATAGTCTGAGATTTCAGACAATCAGACTATTTTAGTCTGATAAAATCAGCCCTGGAGCCAGGGTTTTTTTTTGGATTTTCACTACTCGGATTTCCAGAGCTGTTTTCTAGAGAACTCTGAAATTCAGGGTTCATTATGAGCGTTACTCTGATTTGTCAGAGAAAACTTAACTTCTGAAAAATATACTCCGGGCACCCAGTGTACCTATTTTTCCAACTCTGAGTGTCCTCTCAAGTATTGAACCCAGGCCTTCTGCACTCCTACCAAAAAAATTAAGCGTTGTGCTACGCGATCACAATTGTGTTTGATTACGAATTTTAATAACTCTATTTAGTCTGCCCATCTTCCAACAATTGGGGGGGAGAGGGGGGGGCCGGCGGGGTCGGTCGAAATGCCTATACCCTGTACAGAGAAAAGTACATCCGCCACAAATATACACTGGTCTCTCAGAGAAGCTAAAATCAGAACCCTGACAAATCAGAGAAAACTTATCCTCCAAAAAAATTACCCAGACACGTCAGAGTGACCCCCTAAAAACCACTCTGATTTTCAGAGAAACAGAGTAATTTACTCTGATAAAAAAACCCCTGCTGGGAGCGTAGGCATAATTTGCAGCTGTTTGTTGGATTGAATACTACAATTTTATATGGATATTCTGTAGATGTATACCATTCTTAGAAAAAAAATGAGACAACAAACATTGATTGTTATTTTACCGGGTTTTCTAATAGCAAATTCAGGTCAGCCGTGATATTCGGAGCGTGCTGCACCCTTCGTCAAAAGCTGCGACTTGCAAAGCGAGGGGAGGTTTTCGGCCATTTTCAGGTGCATGCAACTTAGCCTAGGAACGCTATTCAGGTGCATGCCAGGTTGCCTACACTTTTCTCAGGTTAAACAATGCAACTTGTAACTTCACACGTTTTTCAAGATTCGATTTGATTTCGGGCTACGCAAATTGAAATCGGAGTGGTTGGCTCTCGATGCTGCATTTTCTGTCAAATGTAATTCTATGCTTGTAGGCTACAGTGAGTAGCACAATAGGGAGTACAGTTGTTAGGGTTGCATATTTGTACTTCCACACTTCCTAGTTTGACCATTCCGTTGCATTCCTATTCTGAGATGGTATCACGAGTAGGTTAGATCCTCGTCCGGTCTTAGCTAGCCTCCGCGCCCTACGCGCCCTCCGTGCTCTCGCGCCCTCCGCGCCCTCCGCGCGCCTAGCCCGCGCCCTCCCGCGCTGTCAAGCCCGTCGCGCGCCCTCCTTAGACCACCGCGCGCCCTCTCCCACCGTTACGCGCCCTCCTAAACCGTCGCGCGCCCTCCTTCGACTGTCGCGCGCCCTCCTTAGACCGTCGCGCGCCCTCCTTAGACCGTCGCGCGCCCTCCTTAGACCGTCGCGCGCCCTCCTTAGACCGTCGCGCGCCCTCCTTAGACCGTCGCGCGCCCTCCTTAGACCGTCGCGCGCCCTCCTTAGACCGTCGCGCGCCCTCCTTAGACCGTCGCGTGCCCTTCCCTCCGCCTGTCGCGCGCCCTCCTCCGTAAATCTTCCTGCACACCTGCGTGCACTTACCGCACACCTGCGTGCGCTCACCGCACACCTGCGTCCGTGCACTTCCAGCACACCTGCGTGCACTTACCGCACACCTGCGTGCGCTCACCGCACACCTGCGTGCGTGCACTTACCGCACACCTGCGTGCCCTTACCGCCCACCTGCGTGCACTTACCGCATCCCTTTGTGCGCTTACTGCATCTCTCTCCCCTTCACCTGTGCCCTGGTCCCACGCCATTCCTACTGCACTTGACTCCCGGCTCAGCGGCTGGCAGCCGCTCTTCCCTCCGGTAGCGCCACCTAGGTTCGGTTAGATCCCTGCCCCACGACTATTTTCTCGCCGACTGTCTCTCGTCGGTTTCCCCGCTGGCGTCCCTAGCCCTCCGTAGTTTTCCTCCTCGTTCTTAGCTCCGCCTCCGCCGTGCTCCAGTCACCACTAGCATGGGCTCCGCTATGGAGGCCCGTCGCCTCCATTTCGATGCTGAGGGACGCCCGATCGAGTTCGGTACCTGGCAGCGCCAGACCACACGTTTTCTCACCAGCCAGCGACAGGACGGCGCCACTCTGTGGGCTCACGCGTCTGGTGCCCTACAGGCCCCCCCGTCCCCCGCCGCCCTGCCGACCACCCCGGAGCCGACTCCTACGGCCCAGGCGGAGTACGACCGTCGGGTCCTGGCCAGGGACGTGTGGCTCTCGCGTGACGCTGCCGCCGCTCTCACACTGTCGAAGCTTCTCCCCCCGACTGAGGCCACCCACTTTGACCAGGTGGAGACAGCCCAGGGGGTGTGGGATGCTATTTTTGCCCGCTACTCCACCCCCTCCTCTGCCTCCCTCAGTCGCCTCCTCATGTCGTTTGTGTTTCCCGACCTAGGCTCATTTGCGACTGTTTCCGACCTAGTGACTCACCTCCGCTTGCTTGACGCCGGTTTCCGTGCTGCCTGTACCGACGCACAGCTCCTTGTTGCTCCCCCCCCCATGTGGCTCACTGTGCACTGGTTAGTCACCCGCCTCCCTGACCGCCTTGCCACTGCCCGCGACGCGCTTCTTCAAAAGCACCCCACTGAGCTCACTATAGACCTCCTTCAGACTGCTCTCGGGACCATCGAGAGCAGCCTCCTCGCCGTTGCCTCCGCCACTGATGCGGTGGCTCCCCGTCTCTTTGCGGGGTGTGCCGCCCCTCAGCTTCCCACTTTCACCTCTACCCGCGCTTCTGCTGCTGTGTCGGTCTCTGAGGACACCGCTGCCGTTTCTGCCGCAGACTGGCAGAAACGGGGCAAGAGTGGCAAGAAGGGCGGGAAGGGGGGAGGTGGGGGCGGTGGAGGTGGCGGTGGAGGTGGCGGTGGAGGTGGGAGCGGCGGTGGTGGCGGAGGCGGCGGCGGCGGCGGCGGTGGTGCGCCAGGGGGAGGGGGCCTTGGAGGAGGTGCAGGACAGACAGGCCCACCCACAGGTGGTGGCCCGACCGGTGGGGGCGTTGCCCCCCAGCAGCAGCAGCCACAGCAGCACCAGCCACAGCAGGGACAGCAGCAGCAGCAGCAGCAGGGACAGCAGCAGCAGCAGGCACCGCAGCAGTTCCAGCAGTGGGGGCCCCCGCTGCAATGGGGTCCGCAGCAGCACTGGGGTCCCCCGCCGCAGTGGGGTCCGGGAGGCCCTGGGAGCACCGGCCGCAGCAGCAGCTCTTCCAGCTGGGCCCCTCGCCCCCCTCGCCGTGACGCTGGCCCCTGCACCCACTGGTGCCTCACCGGGCCGGGCAGCCCCTGTCTCTGTGGTCGCGACGACCACTCTGCCGCGCGGTGCTTCCGCCGCCTCGACGACCTCTACCGGGCTCGTTGGGGCCCTCTGGCGGTCACGCCTCGCTGGTCTCGTCTGTTAGCCCGTAAGATTGATGTCTTTGATCTGTCCATGGACGATGCGCGTCAGCATGCTTCGTATGTTGATGCTGACTTTAGTGCTGATGGGTCTGTGTGCTCGCGTGTTCGTAGGTTAGCCTGCTTGCCTCCTGCTAGTGTAGCCTTGTGCCTGTCTAGCTTAGGTGCTTGCGTTGCTGCTCTAGGTGCTTGTGTAGCGACTGGGTCAGGTGACCCTCCGGCTGAGGCCTCTCTGTCGTTCACGCTGGACTCGGGCGCGTCTCAGTGCTTCTTCCGCGACCACACGACCCTTACGCCACTCCTCACCCCTGTGTCGGTGGCTCTGGCTGATCCTACCTCTGGACCAGCCGTTGCGCGTAGCTCCACCACCCTCCCGTGCCCTGTGGTCCCCTCTGGTGTCCTGCGCGGCCTCCACATCCCCTCGTTCACTCGGAACTTGGTGGGTGTTGGATACCTCCAGGACAGGGGGATCACGGTTACCTTCGTGGGGGGTGGGCGGACTGCAGTCTGTACTGACGCTACCACAGGTGCTGTTCTGGCCACTTTCACCAGGGAGCCCCGCTCCTGTCTCTACGTTCTCCACACCGAGCGCTCCCCGGTCGCGTCCTCCCCTCAGGTCGTTGCGTCCCCTCCGGCCCAGGTCCCCAGTCCA